TTCAGGGTCGAATTCTAATTCTACTTCTCTTGCCATTTCTACCACATCTGTGATGACTTCCTTCACTGAAGTCTTGAACCCCTTAAAGTCATCTGTGAAGATTGGAATCAACTGTCAATCTTCTGTGAATGTTGATATTTGACCTCATCCAATGAATCATGAATATTCATAATGGCATCTAGAATAATGAGTCATTTCTAGAAGGTTTTCAGTTTACTTTGTTCAGATCCATCAGAGGAATCACTAGGGCAAATACCCTTAGCTTTACAAAAAGTGCATTTCCTAAATAGTAAGACTTGAGAGGTGAAATTACTCCTTCATCCTAGGGCTGCAGAATGGATATTGTTTTAGTAGGCATGAAAACAACATTGATATCCTTCATCAGAGCCCTGGGGAGACCAGGTGTGTTGTCAGTGAGCAGTAATATTTTGAAAGGAATCTCTTTGTAAGTGGTACATCTCAACAGTGTGCTTAAAATATTTAGTAGACCGTGTTGTAAACAGACTTGCTGTTATTCAGGCTTTCTTGTTCCATTTCTGGAGCAAAGGTAGAGTAGATTTAGCATAATTCCTGAGGACCCTAGGATTTTTGGAATAGTAAATGAGCATTGGCTTTAACTTAGAGTCACTACTAGCCTCTAACAAGGTACTCATTCTGTCTTTTGAGGCTTTGAAGCCAAACATTGGCTTTTACTCTCTAGTTGTAAAGGTAGTAGATGGCATCTTTTCTCCATATAAGGCTGTTTTGTCTACAGTGAAAAATCTGTTTAGTGTAGCCACCATTATCAATGATCTAGACTAAATCTGGATGACTTGCCATATAGCTTCTACATCAGGACTTACTGCTTCACCTTGTACTTCTATGTTATGGAGACAGCTTCTTTCTTCAAACCTCCAATTTCTGTTAGCTTCAAACTCTTCTTCTGCAGTTTCCTTACCTCTTTCAGCCTTTATAGAATTGAAGCTAGTCTGGGCCTTGTTCTGGAATAGTCTTTGGACAAACGGAATGTTGTCTGGTGTGATTTTCTATCCTTTACCACTAATACTTTCTCCATATCACCCATAAGTGTTTTTCATGTTTATCATTCATCTGTTCTGGAGCAGCACTTTTAATTTCCCTGAAGAACCTTTTTTTTGGGGGGGAGGGGTATTCTTATATTGGATAATTGTTTAGTGTGAGAGAGCAAGCTTTCAGTCTGTCTTGGCTTTTGATACATTTTCCTGGCTAAGCTTAGTCATTTTTAGCTTTTGATTGAAAATGAAAGATATGTGACTTTTCCTTTTGCTTGAACACTTAGAGTTCATTGTAGGGTAACTAATTGGTCTAACTTCAGTGTTGTTGTGTCTCAGTTAATAGAGAGGCCCTGCTAAAGGGAGAGAGACAGAGGAATGGTGAGTTATGGCGCAGTCAGAATATACAAAACAATTTATCAATTAATTTTGTCATCTTAAATGAGTATGGTTTGTAGTGCACCAAAGCAATAATAATATCAAAGATCACTGATCACCATAGTAGATATAGTAATAATGAAAAGGTCTGAAATATTCTGAAAATTATTAAAATGTGACTATGCCCATGACGTGGGCACATGTTGTTGGAAAAATGCTGATAAGAGTTTCTGGACACAGGGTTGCTGGAAAACTTCAGTTTGTTAAAAAAACACAGTGTGAAGTGTCATAGTAAAGCACAGTGGAATTGAAACAAGGTATTCTTGTATTCTGTTTAATTATTTTAATGACTTTCCAGCTATTTCTTGTTACTACAACCATTATTATTTTAGTGGTTGCTCTAGGAATTAGTGTCCTCTTTAAGTTGTCATCATATGCCTAGAGGGCAGTACTTTATCACCTCATATGAAATATGAAGAACCTTGCTATAGCATAATTTTAATTAGCCCCCATCCTTTGTTCTTTTTCGTTATATATTTTACATCTACACTCATAATTTACTCCACAGTGCCATACTCATTGTTGCATTAAACACCCTTTCTTAAAGAAATAAAGAACAGAAAAAAATTGTTTACGCTCATACATTTACTTAGTATTTTCAGTACTCTTCATTATTTTTTGTAGGTACAAATTTTAGTTTTGTGGTCATTTTTCTTCATTCTGAAGAACTTTCTTTAGGATTCTGTGTATTGCCAATTTTCTTTCTTTCTTTTTTTTAATTTGCTTTATTTTATTTTATTTTATTTTTTTGAGACGGAGTCTTGCTCTGTTGCCCAGGCTGGAGTGCAGTGGCATGATTTTGGCTCACTGTAACCTCTGCCTCCCGGGTTCAAGCAGTTCTCTGCCTCAGCCTCCCAAGTACCTGGGATTACAGGTGCCTGCCAGCATGCCTGCCTAATTTTTGTATTTTTAGTAGAGATGGGGTTTCACCATTTTGACCAGCCTGGTCCTGAACTCCTGACCTCATGATCCACCCACCTCAGCCTCCCAAAGTGTTGGGATTACAGGCGTGAGCCACTGTGCCTGGCCTATTGCCAATTTTTTGTGACAAATTATCCGACCTTTTTATTCTCTGAAAATATTTTCATTTACTGCCAAGTTTGAAGGATATTTCATTGATGTAGAATTGCTCTACTTTTTCTTTTAGTACTTTAAAAATTGTTTTATTTTCCTCTTGCCTCTGTTTTTAATCAGAAGTCAGCTTCCACTGTATAATTGATCCCTTCTATGTAATGCATCTTTTTACATAGTCTTGTGCTTTTATAGTATTCAGTTATTTGGCTTTTTGTTTAAAATAGATAACATCTCAAGTCTATTACCTTTTCACAGCCCACTCTTCTTGCTTTGCTTAGTTTAAATTTTATTTACAGTCATAGTTATTAATCCCTCCACAACATCCTGACTTCTTTACCTCTTTATTTGCTTATTGACACTACAACACTGGTTAAATCCAACATAACTGCTTCTCCATTCCTATTTTTAAGCAGGTGAATGTGGCTGATGAAAAAAAAGAAACCTACACTGGTCTCATTTTAAATTCATGAGCACGAATCTCATTTGTGCCCTTATTCTTTCTTGCCTTGCAATCATTAAATTTTTCCTGTTATGTTATCTGCTCCACTCTTCTGATCAACTCTTTTATACTTCCTTCACTTTCATTTAGCATATTTTTTTCACATCTTTTCTCTTAGCTCATGACCATAGTACTCCACTGAAAAAATTGAGGAAATCAAAAGAGATGTTTTGTAATATCCTGTTATCACATACATTCATAACTTGTATCTATGCATGTATATTTTATATTTTCTTCTGTTACCGTGGATGAAATACCCATGTATCCAGGTAAAGCAAGTCCTTTATGTGTGCATTGTAACCAACTTCTTCTAGACAATTTCATTTTATTGCTTTGGCAATTTTACACTTTCTCTCTGTACCATCACATTTTTACTCTTTATATGATCATTCTTATTATCATACACCTTTGTCATTATCTCTCTCATCTTAAAAAAGAGATAAAGCAAGTCATTGATCTTACATTCCATTTTAGGCAGTACTCTTTTCTCCTGCTTATTTTTTTTACAGCAAAACTTTATAAGAGGGTTGACTGTTGGCTGTCTACATTTTTCCCTCTCTTTTTTTCTTTTCTTTTCTGAGACAGAATCTCACTCTGGTGCCCAACGTGGAGTGCAGTGGCACGATCTCAGCTCACTTCAACCTCTGCCTCCTATGCCCAAGCGATTATCTCACCTCAGCCTTCCAAGTAGCTGGGATTACAGGCACCTACTACCATGCCCAGCTAATTTTTGTATTTTTAGTAGAGACGGGGTTTCACCGTGTTGGCCAGGCTGATCTCGAACTCCTGACTTAAGGTGATCCGCCCGCCTTGGCCTACCAAAGTGCTGCGATTACAAGCACTGCACCCAGCCATCATTTTTTAAAAACACTTCTTTACTTGGCTTGTTAGAACACCAAAGTTTGTTGATTTTTTTTTCTACGTTTTTGGCTTTTCTCAGTCTTTTTGCTGTGTAAGTAAATCTTCTGAGTATCTCTCCTTAGATCTCTTCTTTTTTCACTCTACCCTCATTCTCTTGATTATTTCCATCCATGTTCATGGTTTTAAGTGTCATCTCCATGTCAATGACTTTTAAATGCATATTTCTGTGTAGTCCTCCTTTCTGAACTCTTGTCCATCATATTCAAAAGCATGCTAATGACCATTTTTATATTTAATGAGATCTCACACTTAATTTTGCCAAAACACCCTCATAATATTTTGCCTCCCCGCCACTGTCCCTGGCAAATGCTGCATCTCTTAATTTTTTTTCTCCGTCTTGTTTAGTGGTAACTCCACTATTCCAGTTGTCAGGCCAACGATGTTAGTGTAGTTCTATGTTCTCTTCATTTCATGGCGATATCTGATTTATCAGCAAATTCTTTTGGCATTGTCTTTATAAAACACTTTTTACCAGAAAACACTTTATAACACACTTTGTACCACACCACCACTGTCACCACCCTGCTCCCTGACTATATTATCTTTCACTTGTGTTATTAACTGGTCTTTTTTTGTGTTTTTGGCTCTGCCTTTATTTTTATACAGCAACACAGTGATTGTGTTATATTTTAGGTTAGAGAGTGTTACTCTTCTGTTTAAACCTTCCAGTTTAACTTCTGACTTGCTTCAGAGTGAAAGCTAAAACCTTTATACTATAACAGAAGATTTGCCATCCATTGCTGCTGACCATATCTTCTGCTCAGCTTGTCTTTGGTTTATTTCCAGTCATCATGGCTTCTTTGCTATCATCAAATATTGTGAGCATATTCCTATTCCTGCAGTTTCAAACATGCTATATAATACTTACTTTATTTTATTTGCAGTCTAAGAACCATTGGTGCCCAAATATAGGTGCCCAAATACAGAGCTTTTTTCTTTTTGTTGTAAGCACTGAGTATGCAGCAAATTGTCCTAGCACATAGTAGGCACTCAGGATTCAGTTTTCCTTTTAATAAGTGAGTTCCTCTTTCACCTATTTTTCTTAAACTTGTTTTCAGATCCGTGATTCTAACTGCAACTATGAGGCCTTTATGAACATTATTAAATTGAGTGACAATATTGGAGAGCTAGAAGCAGTCAGAGATAAGGCAGCAGAAGAATTACAGTATCTTAGATCTCTAGATACAGCTGGTGATGGTAAGTAATGTATTTAATTTAAAGTATTTTTTGAAGGATTATTATATCTTCAAAACTTTGGTTAATTTACCTAAATGTCATTTTCTGCTATTAATGTTTTCACTTTAATTAAATCTTCCTTATTAGATTAACATGTGCTTAGTTAGAGTAAAAGGATTATTTTCAGAATGTGAGAATGTGATTATTGTAATTATCCCTAGAGTGGAGGTAATTGGCATGGTTTACTTTTAATTAAATAATTTCACTGTATAATTTCAGATGGTTTCTTTTATTGAATAAAACAATTGCTGTATTATTGGTTATTTTGTTAAATTACAGTAAGTGCATGTTTAAAGTATTTAATAAATAACATTACCACTTTCTAGTTCATGATTTGTTTGCTTTTAGATATCAACACTATCAAAAATCAAATAAATAGCTTACTATTCGTAAAGAAGGTATGTGACTCAAGAATACAGCGATTGCAGTCAGGCAAAGTAAGTAAAGTACTTTTGAATTAATGTAATTAATGTTTAGTTATAAATACTTTATAGGGATTAAAATGCACAGTAAAGGACAAAAAGTAGGACATTTCCCAGTGCAGCACTTTACAAGAGGACTTTAAAAAGAGTTTTCTTTTCGACAATGTGATATAAATATTTGTTAAAACATGCCAAAAAGGTTAACTAAAGTGCTGCCTGAAAATTTTTAAAGTAATTGAAGATTTTATTTTATTCCTTGATTTATTTATGCACTTACTTGGGTATCGTTTTCAAAATTTACATTTATTCAGTTTTGTGAGTTGGGTGCTTTTTAGAAGAGCCAAGTAGACAAACTCTTTTCATGGAGTTTACATTTTAGTTGCAGAGTCAGGAAATAAATCAATAAGCAAACTGATGCATAATATCAGGTGGTGATATCTACTGCAAAAAAACAGTAATAAAGCAAAGTAGCGTATAGAAAATGTCTTGGACTGGTTTAGATAGGTGCTGAGAGGTTTGATGACACTTGATTGTAGTGAGATCTAAATAACATGAGGCAGTTAGTCCTGTGCTGTATTTTTGCTTGCCTTTGAAGTATCGATCTTACAGGCAGTCATGAGAGCAGATGCAGGAGCACTAAGGTAAGAATGTCTTTGGTGAATTGGAGGAGGTCGTTGTGATTGGTATGGAATGAATGAGCTATTGTGCTAGGAATGAAGTCATAGAAGAACCGGGGGGTTAGATCTTATATGGTCATATATGGTCTTACTGGCCATAGTAAGAGTTTTATTCTAATTATGATGAAAGTCAATTGGAGATTTGCCCTGGCAAGTGACATTACCTGACTTACGAGCTAAAAGTTAAAATTATTGTCTTTATTCTTTGTGAAGAATAGACACAAAGTATGAGACGATATGGGTAAGAATGGAAACTGAAAGATTATTTGCGATAACTCCTGATTTAAAACTAGGTAAGAGATGTCAATGGAGGTTGTGAGAAGCGATTAGAGACTGGATATAGTGCTAGTAGGATTTTCTTAATGGAGTGAATATGGGGTGAGAAGGAAAAAAAAATAACTCAAGGACAATTTCAGGGTATTTTGGTTTGAGCAACTGTATAAATAGTGGTGCTGTTTACTGAATTGGGTAACACAGAGAGAGGAGGAGGTTTGGAAAAGAGAATTGAGTTTTGGGTATTTTAATTTTATATCCCTGTTTGACATTCAAGTAGACATGCTACTTGGTAATCTTGAGTTCTAAGGAAAAGTTAGTGATGGAGACGAATTTTGTAAATTCTCAACAATTATCAGATGTTTAATGAGAGACTGGATGATGTTATCTAAAAGAGCGTGTGTAAGTAGGAATGCATTGGTGACTTGGTCCTACTACACTTCAGTGAATAGAGTTTAAGACAAAGAGTCTAGCCAAAGAAACAGAGTAAATAGCCAGTGAGATTGGAGGAAAACCTGAGCATGTGATATTGAAGCAGGATATTTCCCTGACCCCTTCGCAGGACTTGCAGCAGGGGTGCCTGGTTTACTCATCCTGCCATTCTCAACTTCTTGTGGTGGGGGGCGTGCAAGCAAACGAGTGAGAACTTGAGTGAAGGAGTGCTGGAACAAGCCTGCCACTTCGGTACTGGCGAGATCAAACTCTACTCACTCGGACCCACTGTATTCCACCCCTCACAACAGGGAGTGCACAAGTGACTGGGTGGAGGAACTGGCCCAGATGCATTAGTGCTGGCAAGAGCAAACCCTGTTCAGGCCCTACAGCTGTCCAGTTCGGGGTGCCTGTGACTCCCAAAGCCCCAGAAGGTGTGTGACAGTGCTCTCTTAGCTCTGCTGTCTGTGGATGGCTTAAGGGTTAACAGCTCAGTGGACCATTTGCCTTTTTGCATGAGGCAGCTGCCCTCCGCCGGTGAGGGCAAAGGGCCAGTGTGACAGGCTTTTGTGTCTGCACTCGTGGCTTCTGAGCTCTTATTCGGCATCCAGGAAAAATGAAGTTGCATCAATGAGTTGAAAGATGGTAAATACTGGAGATTTTATGGCCGATGAAAGTGGCTCTCAGTGGGAAGGGGAGCTGAAAAGGGGAATGGGGCAGGTAGGTAATCTTCCCCTGAAGTCCGACTGTCTCCATTTGGATTCTTTCTGAAGTTATGCCATCAAGCTGTCCCTTTGAAGTCCAGTCGCTTCTCTCCAATATCCAGCCGTAGTCCTGGCTATCAACTGAGTCTGGGGTTTTTATAGGCACAGAATGCGGTGGTGTGCGGCCATGGGCGGTTTAGGAAAAGGCAACATTTGAGCAGGAAAACAGGGATGTAAGTTTTCACTTAGGGTTCCGGTCTCAGGCTTTTTGGCTTGAGGGTGGTGTTTCGCTAGGGACTGCCCTTTTCTGCCTAGAATTTTGTGCACCCTGTCCCTATCAATATCTCAGAAGCCAAATGCAAAAAGTGTTTATAAAAGGGAAAGATGAGGTGTATCAAAGGATAACATGGAGAAAGATGAAGACTGAGAATTGATCAGTGGACTTACTACCTTCCGGATTATTGGTGATCTAATGAGAACATTTTTTTGTGGAGTAGTGGAGAAAATCTTAATTGGAGTTCGTCCATGAGAGAATGAGAAGAGGTAAATTAGAAACAGGAATGATAGTTGCTCTTTAGAGAAGTTTTGCCCTAAAGGAGAGCAGAGATTTGGGGCTTTAAAGCAGGAAAAAGCATTTCTTAATACCCTTAGGTTTTTAATGAGGTCACATTTTTGCTGTGGTTTTCTGTTTTGAAAATTTATTTATGACTCTCTGGTCTTATAATTTTACAGTGTATTTAAATTCCTTAAGGAATAGAAGAATTATTTTTAAAAACCATGGTGGCACATGCCTGTAATCCCAGCTACTCGGGAGGCTGAGGCAGGAGAATCACTTGAACCTGGGAGGTGGAGGTTGCGGCGAGCCGAGATCATGCCATTGCACTCCAGCCTGGGCAACAAGAGCGAAACTCCGTCTCAAAAAAACAAACAAACACGTTAAATTTAGTTTTCTAGATGAATTATAACTTAAGAAACATTACTTGAGGGCCATATTTGTTACGTGTGTATGTGTGTGTGTGTACCTTTGTTTTGGTTAACTATATTTTAAAACTAGTTTATATACTCATGCAAATTAGCATAGAAGAAAGATACAGTTTCACTTGTGCTTTTCTTTACTTCCTTATCTAGATCTCAGAGGTAGTGATCTTTCAGTGTCATTACTCAGTGTTTTTTCCCAGGCACTTTTTGATATTGAATCCTTTTAAAATTTAGATATTTTGTTTGCAAGCCTGTCAATTCCATTTTGAATACAAGCTTTTATTTTTTAATGAGCTCAGATCATACAGTGTTTTCCTTTGTAAATAAACTCAGAATCCCCACGGATTTGCAGTTACATAGCTATGTTACTTATCTTGAAATCTTAGAAACCTTTATCCTCAGTGAATTTTCCTTCCCATCCTGTATCTGTGGAGCCGCTGCTGGGCAGGATAAAGAGGTGATACAATTTGAAGAAGGGAGACTTATTAGAAATCATGTGCTGGCTCTAGATTGCTCTCTACCAGACTTTGAAAGTCAATTCGCTGTTATTATTCAGTACTTACATGAAGGAAAATACAAATTATAGAGATGGATTTGTTTTTCTTTTTTAATTCTCTTCATTTTCCTTTATTTACCACTTATGCTTAATTTAGTATCTGCCTCTGAATATGGCAGCCTACTTCATTTACAGTAAACCTGCCTATTTTTCTTTTTTAAATAGAGGGTTCTGAAATATGGATTTGGGAATATAGAGAAGCCAGTGAAAATGAATAATTCATAGAAACATTATGGCTGTTATGGAAAGGGCAGCAGCATTTGAAAACACATAGTCATACTTACCGGCTTTGCGACTTAATAGGCAACCTTTTTCATCTTCGTTTTCCTTATCTGTTAAGTAGGCTTGGTGATACAGATCCAACAGTATTGCTGTGCAGATTAAATGAAGTAATATGTGTAATGTAACTAGCACAATGCCTGATACGTAGATGCTCTTTAAATTTTGAACCCAACTTTTCCTTTTTTTTTTTCATGTGTAGGTTGTTTCCTTGCTCTATGACTTTGAAAAGTATGTCTGAAATTCACTGTTTAGAGAGTCTGGAAAAAAACACATTTTCTGTAATAATTAGAGATTTTTATTGAGTTAGGAGCAAAATTACTCTTTAGGCATATTTTGTTTTCCTAGTAATAAATAGACTTTATACATGAAAATGTTGAGTTTTTAAAATTCTTGCATATATTAAACATTTCCTTCACCCTTTTAGCCTCTGGAATGTTCATTTTCATATGGAATATATATAGAGAGAGAATAATTGAAAATATAGTGATTTCTATTTATTTTATATTGAAAGAGTTGAATGCTAATATTTTTAATGTGCTAATATTTTTAATTTGCTAAGCGACACTTGGAATTTAAATTCACAGAATGTATATCTATTGGGAAACAACATGCATGAGAAGGGAAGAACTTCATCTTTACTCCATTTTAGCTTGATTTTTTTCCGTATATTTATGTAAACATCTTTAACAATGAATGATTAGATAAAATATTAACTTATATTCACTTTTGCCTGTAGGAAATAAATACTGTGAAACTTGCAGCAAACTTTGGGAAACTTTGCACAGTCCCCCTGGACAGCATTCTTGTAGACAATGTTGCACTACAATTTTTTATGGGTAGGTAGATCAATTCTGTTTAAATGATATAGCCATTGAATTTCTTTTTCCATTTTTTATTGTGGTAAAATACACATAAAATTTAGTATCTCAACTATTTTTAAGTGTATAGTTCAGTGATATTAAATGTATTCATGATGTTGTACAGAGATTACAACCATCAATATCCAGAATTATTTTTATCTTCCAAAACTGACATTCTACTCATTAAACACCAACTCTCTCCATTCCCCACACCCTCAACCCCTGCAACCCATTCTGCTTTCTGTCTCTATGATTTTGACTACTCTTAAGTACCTCATGTAGGTCGAATTGTACAGTGTTTGCCTTTTTGTGACTGGCTTACTCACTTAACATGAATATGCCCTCAAGTTTTATCCATGTTACAGCATATGTGAGAATTTCCTTCCTTTTTAATGCTGAATAATACTCGTGTGTGTGTGTGTGTGTACACGTGCACACACTTGCTTCTCCCATTACCTCTTCTCCCTTCCCTCCACTTTTCCTAATTTCTCTGCCTAGTACTTCCAGTACTACGTTGAACAGGAGTGGCAAACGCAGGCATCTTTGTCTTGTTCCTGATCTTAAAGAAAAGTATTCTGTCTTTCATCATTGAGTATAATATTCACTGTGGGCTTTTTCATATACAGCTTTTATTATTTTGAGGTAGTAGCCTTCTGTTCCTAGTTTATTGAGTCTTTGTCATGAAAGTGTGGAATTTTGTGAAATGCTTTTTGTGCATCAATTAAGATATGTGGTGTTTATCCTTCATTCTGTTGTGCTGTATTACATTGATTTTTTTTTTTTGTATGTTCAACCATCTTTGGATTCCAGGAATAAATGCTACCTTAGTCATGGTATATAATCTCTAATATGCTGCTGAATTTGTTTTGCTAGTATTTTATTGAGGATTTTTACGTCAATATTTATAAGGAACATTGGTCTGTAGTTTTCTTGTACTATCTTTATCTGGCTCTGTTTTCAGAATAATGCTGGCCTCATAGAGTGAGTTAGGAAGTGTTTCCTGTTTAGTTTTTTGGAAAAATTTAAAAAGGATTGGTGTTACTTTTTCTTTAAATATTTGATAGAATTCACCAGTAAAGCTATTCAGGTCCAGGTCTTTTCTTTATTGAGGATTTTTGGTTACTGATTTAGTCTCCTTACTACCTATCAGTCTCCTCAGATTTTCAATTTCTTCATGATTTAGTCTTGGTAGATTTTCTGTGTTCTAGGAATTTTTCCATTTCCACTAGGATATCCGATTTATTGGCGTACAGTTGTTCATAGTACTTTTAGTTTTGTAGAGTCATTAGTAATATCCTCACTTTCACTTCCAATTTTAGTAATTTTAGTCTTTTCTCTTTTTGTCCTCCTAGATAAATGTTTGTCAATTTTGTCACTCTTTTCAAAGAATCAACTATTGCTTTCATTGACTTTTACTATTTTTCTGTTCTCTCTTTTGTTTATCTCTGCTGTAATCTTTACTGTTTCTTTCCTTCTGCTAGCTTTGGGTTTAATTTGTTCTTTTTCTATTTCCTTACATTATACAGTTAGAAAGCTTTACAACGTAAGGAAAGATGATTTGAGATTTTCCTTTTTGCTGTGTCCCATTAGTTTGGTATGTTATGTTTGTTTTAATTAATCTTTATGTATTTTCCAATTTCTCTTGTGATTTCTTCTTTGATCTATTGGTTGTGTGAGTGTGTTTTCATGTTTTCAAAGGATAAGTAGGGTAAATAAAAAGTGTGTTGTTTGATTTCCAAAAATATATGAGTTTTCCAGTTTTAATTTTGTTACTGATTTATAATTTTATCCCATTGTAGTTGGAGAAGATACTTTGCATGATATCCATTTTTAAAAACTTTATGAGATTCAATTTGTGGCCCACTGTATGGTCTGTTTTAGAAAATGTTCCATGTGTACCTGAGAAGAAGCTGTATGCTGTTGTTGGAAAGTGTTCTGTATGTTTGTTAAATCTACCTGTTATATTGTGTTAAGTCCTCTATTTCCATACTCATCTTCTGTCTAGTTCTATCCGTTACTGAGAGTGGGGCATTGAAATCTCAAACTATGATTGTGGCACTATCTCTTTTTCCCTTCAAATCTGTCAGTTTTTGTTTCATATATTTTGATGATCTGTTACTAGGTATGAAAATGTTTATAATTGTTGTATCATTTTGTTATGCTGAATCTTTTATTAATATATAATAACCTTATTTATATCTTAACCTTTTTTGATTTAAAGTCTATTTTTCCTGATACTAGTATAGCTTCCCCTGCTCTATTTTGGTTGCTGTTTGCATGTGATGTGATTTTTCATCCTTTCACTTTCAATTTATTTATGTCTTTGTATCTAAAAATCTTTGTAGACAGTATATCATTGGATTGATTTTTTTAATCCATTCTGCCAGTCTCTGTCTTTTGATTAGAAAGTTTAATCTATTTACATTTAAAGTAATTATTAATAAGGAAAGACTTCTGTCATCTTGTTATTTGTTTTCTACATGCTTTATATCTTTTTTGATAGTAATTTTCTACGTAACTGACTTCTTTTGTATTTAGTTGATTTTTTGTAGTAACATGTTTAAATTTCTAATTCCTCTTATGTATATTATGTAGCTATTTTTTTTGTGGTTACTATGGGGATTACATGTAACATCCTAAATTTATAACACTGTAATTTGAAATTATATCAGCTTAATTTCAAATGCAGTCAAAACTTTGCTCCTTTACAGCTCTGTCACCATCCCTCTTTTGATGATGTCACAAAACTAAGTCTTTACAAATTGTGTGTTCAAAATATGAACTAATAGTTCTTATTTAAATGAGTTACTTTTGTAGATTATGTAGAAACCAGGATGTGCAGTAACAAAGTACAATATTTCTGGCTTTCAGATTGATAATTAATTTTTTAAAAACCATATTTGTCTTTCCAGTCACATAGAAAACAAAAAAAAAATAGGAGTTACAACTCATTGTTAATAATACTAGCTTTTATAATTGCCCATATTTTTATTTTTACTGAGATATTTATTTCTTCATATGATTTCAAGGTACTAAGTTACTATCTAGTGTCCATTTGTTTAATTTACCCTTCAGCACATTTTGCAAGGCAGGTCTTATGGTAAGATGCTTCCTTTGCTTTTGTTTATCTGTGAATCCTTATTTCTCTCTCGTTGTGAAGTATAGTTTTGTCAGATATAGGAACTTGGTTGACAATATTTTTCTTTTAGCACTTTGAATATCACTCCATCACCTTCTGGCCTCCAAAGTTTCTTGAAAGAAATCCGCTGATAATCTTTTGGGTTTTTTATATGTGTTGTTTTTCTCTTTCTGCTTTTGGATGATTTATATTTTGAAAGTTGAATTATAATGTGTCTCCATGTGGATATCTTTGAATTCATCTTAGTTGGAGATTGTTGAGCTTTTTGGATATTTATATTCATGCCTTTCTTCAAATTTGGGAAATTTTCACTTATTTCTTCAAATATGATCTGACGATTTCTCTCTGTCTTCTCTTTATAGAACTCCCACATGTAACTTGGTCCTGCAGGTACCTTAGGCTCTGTTTACTCTTCTTTATATTTTTACATTCTGTTTCTCGAATCTACAACTTTTATTATTCTATCCTTACATTTGCTGATTCCTCTGCCTGCTCAAATCTACCTTAAATTTCCTTTAGTGCATTTTTTATTTTAGTTATGTACTTTTCACCTCCATCATTTTATTTTGGTTTCTTCTAGGTTTTCTATCTCTTTATTGATCTTTCCGTTTTGTTCATAGATTGTTTTCTTGACTTTCTTTACATCCTTCTTTAGTCTTTTGGGCATCTTTAAGGTAGTTATTTTAAAGTCTTCTTCTAGTAGATATTCCGTCAGGTCTTTTTTGGGGACAGTTTCTGTTGATGTATGTTGACATTTTTTCCTCTTTGAATGGGCCACACTTGCCACATACTTTGTGTGCCTTGTTGGGGGTGTGTGTGTGTGTGTGTGTGTGTGTGTATGAATAACTATTTGAATCTAATAATGTAGTAACTCTGGAAATCACTTTCTTCCCTTTCCTTAGGGTTTGCTGTTCTTTATTGTTGTTACTGTTTTTATTTTTAATATGTAGGCTGTCTATGCTAAGGATCAGCCTGAGGTATAAACTTAAAGTCTTCTCAAGACTATTCTGAGCTTGTGCTTTTCCCTGGGCAGGTATAGTCACTTTCTAATTTTCCCGCATATGTGGTTGCTTTTGAATGTCCTCATTTTTAATGCATGGCTCCCAAAGGGAGAAAAAGATAAAACTGTGGGAGTCAAGGGAGAAAGGGTGCCAGTCTTCTAAATACCTTGCTCGTTACTTCAGCAAGAAGTAAAGGGGCTTGGACCAATCAAGAGATATGCAACAACAAAGGCTGCCTATATTGTGTGCACCTCTGTGATCAGAAGCAGCAGTGTGCTGTCAGAGCCTAGATTCTGAATATTTGAAGGACAAGTTGTTTTTTGTCCACCCTGGTTCCTGCTTGCTGTGTACAAGCTAATTCTGGAGTGCATGCATAGCTACTTGTTCTAGGGGTCTGGGAGTGAGGAATGGGTAGCTGCAGTTGTGCTGCAGCTGAAGTGAACTGAAATTAACCAAAGCTTACTTCCCAAGCCTTCCCCTAAATATTGCAAATCTTCAGTAGATTCCAGAGTTCCAAATTAGTTACATCAGATTCTGCCATTGCACTTGCTGTGGAGGTGGAGAGAGAGAATTCTGGTGTTTCACACTCCCACATCTTCTTTGAAATTTTTAAGAATTTTAAATATTATTAAATTTTAAGTAGTTAATATTTTGCTTGCCAAATTCAGTCCTCTCTTTATTCTCTGAAATGTTTTTCTTTAGAAACCATGGAGGTAGAGCTTTATTTTGTTTTGAAGGAAATAGTTATCAAAACTAATGTGCATTTACCAAACTGCTTTTAAAATAAATTCTAGGAGATTCTAATGCAAATTAAAATTCATTGAGAAAGAGTACTTTATTGGGAACATACAATGTATAAAACCTGTTTGTATCATTTTTGTTCATGTGTACATGAGGGATTTTGTTTTTATACCATTTTAATATATGTATTTTTAATTTAGATTTTACTACTATTACATTAGAATTGCTTTTATCTGGAGGACATTTTCAGTAAACCTCTATACATTTTCATTTTTGTGATAAAAATATAAATATGTGGTTTGTTGAGTCATTTTAAAAAATATGTCTAGAAATATTCATAACAGTCTTTATTGAGAACAAATGTTGAATGTTTTATGTAACAAATTTATTCACTAGAGATTTTATCATGAAAAGTGGGATTTAAAAAATTATGAAATATATTCCTTCACTTTTGTTTTTAACATAACTGTTTTTTTTAGCATAACTAATTTACAACTATATTTTCACCTCAGGGATTTGCTAAAACATTTTCAAAATGTGGAGTTTTAAACACTTGAAACTTTAGTCCTTCTTTACTTGTCATACAACTACATGGACCCCAAATTGTGTGACACTAATATTTATGTTATTATGGATTTTTGATTGGTAGATTACATGCAGCAAACTGGAGGTCAAGCACATCTATTCTTTTGGATGACAGTGGAAGGATACCGGGTTACCGCCCAACAGCAGCTAGAAGTTTTATTAAGTCGTCAGAGAGATGGAAAACATCAAACCAACCAAACCAAAGGTCTTTTAAGAGCAGCTGCTGTTGGAATTTATGAACAGTATTTATCAGAAAAGGTGAGAGTTTATTTTGATTACTGTTTTCTTCTTTATCAGTATTATTAATAATTTTTGTAATCCATTGCTTATGCCAGGCTGACTACCTCAAAAACGTTGTTTCCTTTAATCGATAACAATCTTCCTGTCTGTCTGTATCCTCGTTTAAGTGAAGATTCTGATGTTTAGGCAGTCAAATTATCATGTCCACAGTCATGCAAATACTAAATGACAGAATCAAGATTCAAGGTCACATATTAGATTCACCACAGGCTGAAAGTAAAAGTATAGAAAAAGATAAACCATGCAAAAATAAACAAAAGAGAGCACATATATATTTTTTAAAAATGTATATATGTTTAAATGTATGTATTAAACATATATACATTTAATAACAGCCCCCCAATGAATGAAACAAAAATTTGCAGAATTGAAGGGTAAGAGAGACAATTCAACAGTTATAGTTGGAGACTTCAATACCTCACTTGCGATAATTGATAAAACAATTAGAAAAACATCAAGGATATACAAGACTTCAGGAACATTATAACTCACTCAATCCTATAGAAGAATATATATACTATACTATAATTCTGTAGAATGTAATACATCTGTAGTGTCTATAGAGTATATTTTATATGATTATATAGATTATTATAGAATGTATAGAATACATATATAGGATAGAATTGCTTTAGAACTTACAGAATACATGTATTATTCTAATAATGTAATATTCTAATAATATAATAATTCTAATATAATATTGTAATTTATGTATATATTATATGTAATATATGTAATACTGTAATACATATATGTATATTATTCTATAGACTGTTTCCTCTAATGACAGCAAAATACACATTATTTTCCAGAACACATGAAACATTCTCCCAGATAAATCGTTTGCAAGGCCATAAAAGTCATCTCCATTTAAAAGTATTGGAATAATTCTTTGATCAGAATGGAATCAAATTAGAAATCAACAAAAGGAAATTTGGGGAAACTACAAATAATCGAAAATTAAACAACATATTTCTAAATAGCCTCTGAGTCAACAAAAAGTGACAAGGAAACTAGAAAGTATTTTTAATTGAGAATGAAAATGCATTGTATCAGAATTCATGAGATGCAGCTGCTTAGTGATTAGAAGAATATTTGTAGCTCTAAAAATGTGTAGGATAAAAGATCTACAATCAACAATCTTAAGTTTTTACCTTAAAAATCTAGAAATGAAAAACCCAAGCCAAACAGAAGAAGGAAAACAAAGATTATTATGAGAATCGTGAATAGAAAACAGAAAAACCATAGTGAAAATCTAAAACCAAAAGTTGGTTCTCTGAAAATATCAACAATATTGACAAACCTTTAGCTAGACTGGCCATGAAAAAATGGGAGGAGACACAGATAACCAAATTCATAAATGAAAGAGGAGACATGAATCCTGACCCTACAGAAATTAAAAGGAGTAAGCAAATACTATGATCAATTTTATGACAACAAATTAAACAACTTAAAGTGGACAAATTTTTAGACACAGATTGCCACACTAACTCAAAATAGAAAAGAAGATAATTTACTTAATTAGGTCTAATTTTTGCTGGCTATAGAAAAAATGCTAAAATCTTGGTCTGTGGTAAAATCATATTTTTTTAAGTATAGGACAAAAAAATGTTTTTCTCTAATTTGAAATACTTTTTAAATGAAAATGGAGAAAAGGATTACAGTAAACAGAAATTTATATACTGTTTCTCTAAAATTGGTAGGTGATCTTTGACGAGGCCAAAAGCAGCCTAGAGAAGAGTTGACAGACTGACCTGAGTTGTTTGATGTTACATGTAGGTTGTGGTAAAAACTTAACACAGAATGACTCCTGTTTTTGAAATAAGACTACTTGAATATTTAAAAAAAAAAATGTGTCACCAGAAAAGCCAACTTAAACAGGATTTTCTAAATTTCTTTACTAAAACTAATTTATCTGGAATTGAACTTCAGTTTCAAAAGTTTGTCTATTTAAAAACCATTTTTCCTCATAAAGGGATTTAATTTATGATAACATCATTATGCTTCAAAGTATTCAAAAATGAGCATTGTAGGCATGGATAGCCTGTGTGATAAATTTATAGATGGAAAAGACCTGATTGACAAACAATTGAGATACCTACCAAACAAGCCATATATATGGTTTTTGGACTTTTTTTTGAGCACCAAAATCAAATTTCTACGCATTTAAAAACCTATTTTTAATAAATAAAATCCCAATTATTACATGCCCAAATTATTTTGTTGAAAGGATATTTAGGCTAGGCGCAGTGGCTCACACCTGAAATCCCAGTACTTTGGGAGCCCAAGGTGGGAGGATTGCTTGAGGCCAAGAGTTCGAGAGCAGCATGGACAACATAGCAATACCTTGTATCTACAAAAAGAAAAAGAGAAAAAATTAGCTGGAGTTGGTGGCACAAGGCTGTATTCTTAGCTACTTGGGAGGCTGAGCCAGGAAGATGGCTTGATCCCAGGATATCAAGGCTGCAGTGAGCCATGATCACACGATTGTGTTCCAGCCTGGGTAACAGAGCGATATTCTGTCTCTAAAAAAATTTTTTAAAGAAAGGTTATTTAACTTGATCCTTCACATTGGATTGACACAAGAAATAAGTGTGAGGTGGGCTTGAAAAGAGCAGATCTAAAAATCAAGGTGAATTTTTATGTTTGACTATATTCAGTGGTAACACTGCATAAAAAGATGTCCTAAAGGCTTCAGGCAGTTCAGAAGAGTATTATTAGAGAAGGAAACAGAAAAAGCAAAAATATCCTACTGCATCATGGACTCGATAGAAAAGTCATTATTTATTTTTGTTAAATATATATAATACCTGTTTTGCACATACATTCTGCTTTTATGTACATTTGCCTTTTAAAAAGTCTTTCTATATTTTAAGAATACAAAACAATATAACCTATAACATTTAAGTATCCAATAGATTTTATAAAAGGTTTAATGGTACATCAGAGGTCACAAACATTGTAAATTACATATTGTTGTATTTGTCTCCCACAGATTATTTGCCACTGTTAGCTAGTCCCATTGGTTTGTTTAAATAATCACATTTCTGTAATAGAAAAGTAAAGAATACACATTAAGAGATAATTTTGGGAAAGCATTCACTTTTATATTTTCACGTTAAAGTAATAACATGCGTACAAATATTTCTTTTTTGTTGTTGTTTTGTTGTTTTGTTTTGTTTTTTGAGACAGAGTCTCACTCTGTCGTAAAGTTTGGAGTGCACAATCTCACTGCACCCTCTGCATCCCAGGTTCAGGCAATTCTCTTGCCTCAGCCTCCCGAGCAGGTGGGATTGCAGGCATGCACCCACACCAAGCTAATTTTTGTATTTTTTTAGAGAGACAGGGTTTTTGCTATGTGGGCCAGGCTGTTCTCAAACTTCTGGCCTCGAGTGATCTGCCTGCCTTGGCCTCCTGAAGTGTTGGGATTACAAGCATGAGCCACCATGCCTGGCCATATAAATATTATTTTTGTGTTACTTTTTTTGGAAGAGGGGATCCTGACTTGTTGTGTTTCATGTTGGTACACTAAAAGTGTTGGTCATCCTATACCAAAGATGTGGCTTAATCCATTCTGTGTACTTGAGATATATAGGAAAAAGTAAAGTTTAAATAATTGTAAAATATTATTTTTCAAATTCACCCTTTTTATTTCCTAGAAAGTGAGTTTAGTGAGCTTAGAGGGCAGATGAAAGGGCAAAACCAAGTAACATCATATTCCTCTCTAATATTTGTTACATACTTGAAGCTGTTTAGTTCTCCTGTTTTTATTTCGGGGCAACTCTGATACCCCCCAAAACACAAAACAAATAAGCATCCCACTCAGAAAAACAACAACCACACAACCTGCTTAGGTTTACTAACAAAAGTGTCGAATTGACAATGGGGCATTAGAAGTTGTATAGCCCTTTTCCTACATATTTATACCCTGATGTTTACTTTTTTTTCTCCTTTCTTGATTTATCCAACCTGTTCCTTATTTTATTGGATAAATTAGAGAAGTTATGTAAATAATATTTTTTGTTAGTTTCTCTAAAAGTTGTCTCTAGGGCTCATTTACTCTCCAGACTTTTCAGAACTAAAAATGCAAAAGTTGATGTGCTGAAGCTGTTGACATGTCTAGCTTTTCAGCATTTTTTCTTTTAATAAAGAAATTTTTGAAGTTGAAATGTCAAATTTTGTATTTCCTTGTGTTATCTGTGTTACTATATGCTTTGAAATGGAAGTTCTTAAAACGAATTAATTTTAAGGATTTCTTTCCCCATATCACACTGGAACTTTGCTGCAGCATTGGTTATAAAACCAAATTTAGGATAACAGTAGTCTCTTTAAAGGACATTCAAAAGCATTCTCTAGTGTCAGATAATAAATGAAATCACTTATTTGTTGATCAGTCATATTAATACACATCTAATACTACTGAATACTAAACACTAACTCCTAATGACAGTGTTTCCTATGTGCCAGACACTATGGTATATATCTTATATAGATCTCTTTTAATCCTTACAATAATCTTAAATAACCTTGCATAGTATTATCTCCATTTTACAGATGGGGTAAATGAAGCTTAGTGAGAGATAACTTGTTAGGCAGAAGTCGAGATTTAAATCCGTGTTTGTTTACAAGTCTGCTATGTAGTACATGAGGAAGAGAAGGATTTAGTCCCGTTTCATCCTTCTTAAATGTCAAGGCGTCATTTACAAACCAGTGATTCTTACCTGCCAGTTATTTTCAATATTATATTCCATTATTATCATACTATCAAGTATCATCTTGTATTAAGAAATTACAGAGATCATTACTATTATTTTTCTCTGTTAGGCATCTCCAAGAGTTACTGTTGATGACTATTTAGTAGCAAAATTAGCAGATACTTTGAATCATGAAGATCCAACCCCTGAAATCTTTGATGACATTCAAAGGAAGGTATTATTATGTACAACATTTATCATTTTATCTTTTTTGAGAAAAAATACTTTTATGTAATGTAATTAGTTTTTAAAAACTTTTTAAAAGTAGAGTGGTATTAAAAAGATAAGCTATGGCAATTATACTTCTCAATTCCAGAAATGTAAACCAGTATTTTTGTTTATTTTGTTTATTTTCTGAGGAAAATCCTTAAGTTGGGTTGTTTTATTTGAATTTGATTGTAGAGCTAGATATTAACATGAGCCTTGAACCTTTACATGTACTTATTTCTCAGAAAACACTTCCCAGAACATGCTGTCTGTGACTTGTGTTGCAGTAGGATTTTTTTCAATATAATTTAGTTACTGGAGGGATCAGAGGAAATCATTTGTTGTGAAAAAGTCTTATTGCTGACAGCGTGTAACTATGATACATTATGACAAGACCTCGGTGTGTCTTTTGGTGAAATTGTATTTCGTAAAAATCACCACATACCTGTATTAATTGTTGACTATCTTGATTTATTTCACCAAGGTATATGAACTGATGCTACGAGATGAAAGATTTTATCCTTCCTTCAGACAGAATGCACTTTATGTGCGCATGTTAGCTGAGCTTGACATGTTAAAAGATCCTAGTTTCAGAGGATCCGATGATGGGGATGGAGGTAAGGTGGCACCCGTTTTACACATATATGCATATATATTTGTATATATTCGGCTTACCAAAAGAGCTTTTATATAAGTTAAAAATGTTATTGGAGTCCAAATATAAACTGTAATATATTTAAAAATCTACAAATGAATGACAGAGTTTAGTGACTGTACTAAATTAAAATATTGAAAATTTAATAATGGATTAGAATATAACTATAGAAACCTTGAATTCTTAAAGAAGAATGTTTTCTTCAGGTGAGTCACTAAAATATTTTTATGGCAGTTTCCCTTTTGCGAGTAAGTAATAATATTCATGATTAACAATAGAATTATTGAGAAGATTTAATATGCAATAAGTAATGACTCAGTATATCATAAACTATAAAGCATTATAAAAAAAACTATAGTTTTAAATATCTTTAATTGTATACTTTTCCAAATTCTACACAGTGTGAGAGACTTTTGAGCTAGAAAAAGCTGTAAGAGTCGTTTATTCCAACCTTCAATTTTTTCAAATGAGGATAATGAGACCTATTAACATGTTATAGTGAAAAACGTGTTTTAGGAGTCAGAATGTTTAGATTTTACTCCCATTCTACCACTTACTACCTATGTGTTGTCCAAGTACTTAAATTCTTCAAGCCTCATTTTTCTGAGTTGGTAAATCTGGAACAATATCCTCATAATATCTTACATTAGTCATTGTTAGATTTAAATGGAATTATGCATTTGAAAATGATTTATAAAGTAAAACACAAGTATCGATTTTTATTAGTAAATAGTGAGTTATATAAGAATAGTGGGAGGGATAGTCTTTAGAACACAAGTTTCCAAATTCTTAGGCCCAGTGATCATTAACTTGTGATTCAATTCAGAATTATTTATTAAGCTCTAATTAAATATCTGACGTTTGATGATCTTTCTGGTATGTTCTACCAAGTGAATGAGGTCAATAAAAAGTAAACGGGAAAGATTAAGTATTTTAAGAAAGTGCTTCAGTTATGACCATTTACTAATGAACAGGTTTTATGGACAAGCACACTTGGGAATGGAGATAAAATAGCGAGGTCGTGAGCACTGCTTAAAAAAATATCTCTATTATGGAAGTCTCTCAGTCTCCCTTCTCCTCCACCTCTTATCCCTCTGTCTACACTAGTGAGATTTTGTTTTTTAAATAATCTAAGAAATCTAGTTACCGAAGTTTACATTTGAAATTTAGTAACTTTTGTTTGGATGGTTTATCTGATGCCTTGGGTTTTTAAATTAATACTCTTTCAAGTTTACTTTTGTGTACAATTGGAATAATCTATTAACTGATTTTGATTGCATAAGTATGGAAAATTTTAAAAAAAGAATAGAGTTCTTCTCTGTGAGTTGAATAGTAAAATTTTATGTACCTCTAGTTTGTTGTATATATCTGTACTTACTGTCTCTGTTGAAAAATGTTCTTTTATAGAGATACTATATGAAATTTGCAATAGCAACTCTGTGTCAACTAACCATCCTAAAATGACTATCATAAAAGTTTTTGTTGTTTATACTAATTTTATCTATTTTAGAAATTTCTTAGTATTTGTGAAGTAGATTTTCTATATGACTCAGAAAGAGAGAAGACAAAGTCATAACCAACTAATTTTATGGGCTTCTAAGTAACGTATAATTTAAACTGGTGATGGTAGCAATATATTTTGTGGAAGTAATTTTTGATCCTATAATTTAAGAACTCTTTCCAGTCTTTTAAATGGACTTTTAGCTTCCATTGATATCTTTCCAGCCAGTCTGTCGTCTTCAGTACAGCTATTGGAAGCAAACTATAAGCAATCTCAAACTTCCTAAAATCATATGCTGTACTTTTTTGAAACATGAAGTATATTAAAATTTTTTTTTTTGGGAACTGGTTTTGATCTGAAGTAAATTTGCTTCTCATATATCAGTCATTGAGTAACTTCTCACATTTGAATCATTGATTGTAGTTTGAGATTACATACTTATATATCTTATTGTCTTTCTAAGACATTGCTGTCTAATATTTTGTTTCCTAATTGATGAGTTTTATACTGTGAAATTATCCCTTTTTTGAAACCATTTGAAAAAAATATGTGGACTGATGGGTATAATATGAAACATTACTATTTAAAATAACTGTCAGGTTTTTTTTTTTTTTTTTTTTGAGACGGAGTCTCGCTCATCGCCCAGGCTCGGGTGCAGTGGCGCCATCTAGGCTCACTGCAAGCTCTGCCTTCTGGGTTCACACCATTCTCCTGCCTCAGCCTCCTGAGTAGCTGGGACTACAGGCGCCCGCCACCACGCCTGGCTAATTTTTTGTATTTTTAAATAGAGATGGGGTTTCACTGTGTTAGCCAGGATGGTCTCAATCTCCTAACCTCATGATCTGCCTGCCTCGGCCTCCCAAAGTGCTGGGATTACAGGCGTGAGCCACCACGCTGGGCCAATAACTGTCAGCTTTGTTGTCTTTGTCAGTGTTTAGGTTTTAGGCCACTGGTTTACCTTTTTCAAATAGTAATGCTTCTGATATACTTCTTTTTATATGATTATTTAATCAAAAAAAGGCCTTTCCACATTTTTTTGTTATAAATTAGTTTTCTGACTTTTAAAATTAAGCTGCTCAGCACTACATGCATTTTTTAGACATTCTGAAATTTTGACTACCTTTTAGACATTCTGAAATAATTATCTAATCTAGGGATTAATGTGCAGCTGATTTTTTTAAAAGTAGTCTACATTTGAGCCTAAAATTAATGGACCAAGTCATATCATATGGTATAGTACTGTATCCTCTGGTGGTTTTTCTTTGCTTGAGTAGAAATTTCATTCCTATTTAACTAAACTTAATAGTAGGTAGAGAATTAGCTGGTTGGCTTGCTTGTGCTTACTATCTCTCCTCTCTCTTTTTCTCCTCATTTCATCCATTGCCCTTTCTGTTTATTCATGATTACTTTCTTTAGTTATTAAATTATTTTAAAAATAGATATTTTCTCCTTTATTACAACAGAGTTTCATAGTCTTTTAAAACTATATGAATATGTTTTCCTTTTTAAGTTTTAATCTCAACATTGTTTTTCTCACCATGTTGAACAGTGCTTTCTTTTGTTTTCTAATATTTGTAGGTAGTCATCCAATTCTTGATTAAATGTCGACCAAGATTGATTTTATACTGTATTTCTGGATCTTCTTATTGTTGATCAAGAAAGTAAACTATGCCCTATTTTGATCCCAAATTCTCCTTTAACTTGACTTGTCTTTGGTGGGAAGATTTAAGAGGTGGGCAGACTACAGAAGAGGTAGGAGGCATATAATTGAATAAGGAGGATAGAGAACTATTTTACTCATTTTAAGTATCACCAAGGGATAATCCTAGGTGAAATTCCCATTTTTTTAATGACCCAAAGGGCTGAAGAACCAAGAAATGTTCTTGAGCATTTAGAGTAAATTTGGAAGGCAGTATCAGCTGCCTCCTTGTAGAAATTATAGTCTTGCTTTTTTGAAGACCCATTTAGAGAACCAAATTCATAAATAACCTCTTAAGTGCTAGAAACCATATATTAAACTGTGTATGAATATTGCTTTACCATAGATTTGTTTATGTGTTTAATAAAGAAACACCTTAATTGGTAACTTAATTTTCTTAGATTTATAATAAAACCATAAGGGAAAAGATTATTGCTTGATATTAATGTTTACTAGTAATCTAAAATTGACTTACTCTCTAACATTAATTTTTCCCTGTTGCTTTTTAAAAAAGTTAAATGGAATTGCATAAGCAGTTTTAAGTGTCTTTTTGTCTATTAGTTATATATTGATTTAAAAATCTGGACTTCCAGTATTTTCAAGAAAATCTACCACCAAGAATAAGAGGACTTAATAGACCTATTAAAAATAAGTCTGTTTCTCCCTCACACTACAGACTGATTTTATTTGTAATCTTTCTTAATCCAGTGAGACAGAAGTTACAGAATAGTGCTGATGTTTCCTAATGGGCCTCATTCTGCAGTGTTTTCCTCATGCTTATATTGTATTAGGCAACTTATTTGATACTATGAGAATAAAAACATTTAATAATTACTCTCCTGAACACTAATGCCTTTTTGATTTTTGGCCAGCTATCAGGTACATACCATATTGTCACTTAAATGCCTGGCTTAGAAAACCATAGAACTTTAAGGGATCAAGTTTTTGGGAGTATTCCACAATTTTATTTTTTTATTTTTTTTTTTTACTATTATATTATATCTTGGCTTATGTGACTTTCATTCTTGGTGTTTGAACCTTAGATAAAGCAACCGTTGTAAAGTTTTTTGCTGTATACTAAGTTGAATTTCCCCCCTGCAGAATCTTTTAATGGGTCTCCTACAGGAAGCATAAATTTGGTAAGTACTATTATGGGTACTTTATTAAAGTGACTTGAAAATAATGTAAAAGGCTGAGCCTTAACATATGTGAATAAATGATATATAAAGAAGGCCCCAAATCATAATTTAGTGTTGTAAAAATTATTATGCTTTTAAAGAAATGCTAAGTTCACATATAAGGCATATATGAATTAGAACTTAAAAATTATATTTTATCTTTATTTAAAAAATTGGTTTAGGTTAAACCTGCATAATTGCTTTTGTGCATTTTGTAAAAAATTGATTTCATTATTTTTAATTCCAATATTTAGCATGTTTAAATTATGATTACTAAATTGCTATGATAGGCAGTAAGTTTGTGACACATAAATGTTTATATTGGAATCAGTTTTTTTCTCCTCTTGTATTTAGAAAGAAATATAAAACTGGTGAGGATAACCAAAACCAAATAGATATTTCTTATAGTCTACACCAAAACAAATTCAGGTCGTTGTAAACAAAAAAAATTTTTTGTTAAGTTTAGACAGTTTTACAGCAACTACATCCTTAATGATTAGAAGTTAGAATGACATGTTTTTAGAATCTCAACTGTCATTGGCATTTTATATATTCAAGGTACAGTGTAAAATAATGAACATTTTAGCTCTCTTATATATCCAACCTTGCCATTGAATAACTTATTTCCTAAGATGCTGTTAGGAGGAAATATTAGTGTTCTATGAAGGTTTCAGTCCAGTTTGGCTGGGTTGGGGAGGGGAAAAACAGGTAAGGTATTGTTTGTTTTGTTTTTCCTCCTACCTGCATTACTTTTTCTTTTAGACCTTTCGTAATAGCTAAATGTTTTAGAGGTTAGTTGTCTTATGTTTACTTCTAAAATAACCTTATTGAGTAAATGTTCTATTACTGTATTATAACCTTTAGTAAAACACTAAAGCAGATCTGTTGTGGAATTGTCAGATACTTTGTAACTTTTAAAATATTTCCTAAATCATTTGGTATTATTACCATTTACTTGTTGTAGTCCAGAGCTTTAAACAAAAACGAATTGCTCCTAGAACTTGAAGGAAGTGTTAAAAATAATGTTCATTATATAGAAAAGTTTCCAAATGTGATGAAACCCTTCCTTGGTTTGAAAGTTTTTAGTATTCACATTTGTAGTGCTTGTGTAAATATTTAAACACTACTAACATTTTTTTTTTCTTTATTCCATGTCTGGAATAAATGCTTTTCCAAATAAGATAAGTCTCCTTTGTCACATGGTAGTATAAACCAGAATAGTCTCTGGATAAAAAGAAGGTCATTCTTGAAGTCAGTGACTTGGAGTATTTTATTATTCCCATAAATCTATTTGATTCATACTGTTAAGTAGTTGGACCATGTAGACAAATTTTAGTGAATATCTGCGTTTTAAAAATAGCTTAAGATTATAAACTAGATCACAATAGTTTATTCCAGTATACTAAACAAAGGAGATATTTAATGTGTTTGGTATTGTACTCATTTTGCCATTGGTAGCTTGGTAGGTAAGTTACAAGCATTTAGTGCCATTTTCGTTGTGTTTGATGACTATCATCGTAAATTTGAATTTTCAATTTTTGTCTTAGTGTTAAAAAACACTTTCTTACAAGGAGTTTAAGAATCATAACTTAAGGAGTACTCTGCAAATTGTGCTTATTTCAATATAGCATTAATGTACTTGTTTTGAAATCACAATTCTCTTTTGCTACATTTCTAAATCAAGTGTAGTTTTGTCAATATTACTTTACCAATTGTAACTTTGTAGTCCATTGGATATTTACATGCATTATAACTGTAACTAATATTTTTCCAAAGTTTTCATCATATGTAATGAAAACAATATTTACTAATTGCATATTTTAAAAGAGATAAAAAGACATTTCTCCACAAAGCCTTTTTAACAACTTTTGGATTGCATAGTATGAGATGCTAACATGTTTAAAGAGATAAGTATATTTACCTTTTTAAATGTTTACAAGGGAAGGTTACCATTATTAATAATGCTTTTTTTAAAAAAAATAGATTATTTTATGTTACCTGTGCTGGCTTATAATTAGAAGAAGTTATAGTAGAAAATATAAATTTGGTAGAATATTCCATTTCCTCTGAGTCTTCTATCTTTCACATAAAAATATTGAAGTAAAGGTTGTGCTATTTCTATCAAAATGATTTCTTGAGCACATAAAAATAAATGCATCCTTTTTTTTTTTTTTTTTTTTTTTTCCCAAAGCATTTTCATTCACAGTGTGTCCTGACAGTGATGTAGAGTAGGTATTAGCCCCATTTTACTGTTGGGAAAACTGAAATCCAAGAAAGTAGTTGATATGGTTAAAGTCTCTTAAGGTATTGATAGTAGAGCATGGACTAGATCTAATTTAATTTGATGTCTTTGCCATTTGAGTTGACCAGGGAAGTCTTGTGGATTATCTGCATAGAATTATCACATTTTACTTCTCTTAACAATCAGTTTTTAGTAGATACATTTTTGGCCTTCTTCTTAGAATGCAGTTGCCTTAATTTAAGTGACTGTGTCATATGGATGGTTGCATTTAAGTCATTTAGATGACTGTTTTAGTAATAATAATATTACATTAGGACTCAAAAGCTCATTCACATCCTATTATTTTTAAAGAGTGAAATATATCTGAATTTTATGAATATGTGAAATGTGTGAATAATGTAAATACATGAAATATGTCTAGATTATATATGTTAGGTGCCCTCAAGACCACTTCCAGGCTCAGTGATTTGCTAAGAAAACTCACAGGACACACCATAGTCTTACTCATGGCTAGAATTTCTTACCGTGAAAGGTTATAAAGCAAAATCAGCAAGACAACACGTGTGAAATGTTGCCATCAGGAAAACTCATTGGAGACTAAATGTACAGGTTTTTTATTGGAGGCAGATTACATAGCACATACCAAAATTCTAGACTCCTAGAAGGAAAGCAGGTGTTCAGCATAAACATTTCTTATATAGATAGTTTAGGTATGGTAAACCACTCTTACTGGTTGGAGAATGCTGGGAATCTTCCCTAAATTTAAGTTCCCAGATTCCGTCCAGGGAACAACCTTGGAAGCAGTCTTTTCTAGGCAGAGCAGTTTCAGGCTGCTATGTTAACTCTGCAGTCTGCTTTAATTATATGATTATATTCCTTTTTATGTATGTGTGGATATATGTATATGTGACAAAAATATTTTTAAAGTTTAGACCCAAAGGTCGTAGTTATAAAAGATTCGTTTTGAGTCAATCAATAGGCATTTATGTTTGTGGAATTGTTTTTGAAAACTGATCATTTAAAATCTATCATAGTCTATGGATTTACCTCATTTAATAAATAATCAGAATAATAGCTAACGTTTGTTATATTAGGCAGTTTTTTAAATGTCTTACATGTCTTATTTAATCTTCACATAATTCTCTGACTTAGGTAGTATTCTCATTTTATAGATAAGGAATCTAAATTAAGTATAACAATTATTTCTATATTAACAAAAGTATTAAGCTAAAAATACAGAGCTGGTTCTAGTATATTTCAACATAAATGTTAATGTAAGAATATGTCTACTTATTTTTATCTAGATTTTCTTGCCATATAAGGACCATAATTGAAAAGTAGCAAGTTACAGTAGATGGACAAGCAATTAAGGGAGAACTAATCTAATAAGTTTATTACTGAATTATTTTGTTTTATTGTTTCTTAATCTTTGCTTTTTTTCTGTTAGCCTAAATGGAAAAGATTATTGTGTGTGGAGGGGATGGAGGGTATACAAATAATATATAGTTTACATGCATGAAAATGAGTAATTGTAATGCATATATGATGTAGAATTCTTTGATACTTTTTTTCCTACAAAATTTTAAAAATTTGTTTCCGGTTTTTTTTTTCTCAGTCTTTAGATGACCTTTCAAATGTGTCTTCTGATGACTCAGTACAACTTCATGCCTACATTTCAGACACTGGTAAGAGAGTTTGAAGTATAATTACTGCATTAAAACTATGTATTATTGTATCCCTAAATAATTTTCCACACTTAATTTTTACTAACTTTTTTTGTTCTCTAGTCATATTTCTGTTACTTTTTTTCTGCAGCATGTCCTTCATTAAATTCTATTGTATTTATTTGCTTATGTATTTGATCTCTCTAAGATTGTGACTATCAACATTTGAAAATGCTTATGTTCTAAGTGTTTTACTATTTCTAATAAACTCTGAAACCATTCTTTTCCTCTTTGTGCTTGAGTCTAGTTGATAATTGTCTGTATAATTCTCATTAAATCTTTTCTGGAGAGATCTTAGTTCAGGATTGGTTTTCATACATGCAAAGTCAGGCTAGGTAACTGGGTTAAATGAAGCCTCCGGTATAGAAACTTGCAGAACTTCAAGAAGTGCTTGAATGAGGTGAGAAACCTCTAAAGCTTTGTGATCATTCAGCGTACATGTAGAATTGTTAGTAAACCCAGGAAAAATAACCAGTTTTCATCATTGCCATTGAGTTATTAGATAACACTAATGAGTATTAAATAATGATAGTTTTCTTATCTGACCTCTCACTGTTCTTAGAATATAGAAGTGTGTTTGTCATATTACATACTGAGGTATATACCTCAATTCAATTTCATGGTTACATTTTAGACACTGAAGAGATTTTATAGTATAGTATAGTATAGTATAGTATAGTATAGTATAGTATAGTATAGAAGACATTAACTTGTATCTTTTAAAAATAGGTCTTCGTTTCCATTTTCTTCTCACTGGAACTGAAGTCTCAATTTACATTTGTTGCCTGCCAGATTTCTGGAAGAAAACAAGTATTTATTAGCTTCTTAAAATGTATGGAAGCACTGTGCTAGGTATATTTTTAAGAAATTATTTCAGGCTGGGCTTGGTGGCTCACGCCTGTAATCCCAAAACTTTTGGAAGGCTGAGGCAGGCGGATCACGAGGTCAAGATATCGAGACCCTCCTGGCCAACATGGTGAAACCCTGCCTCTCCTAAAAAGACAAAAATTAGCTGGGCATGGTGATGCGTGCCTGTAGTCCCAGCTACTCGGGAGGCTGAGTCAGGAGAATCGCTTGTACCCAGGAGGCGGAGGTTTCAGTGAGCCGAGATCACACCACTGCACTTTAGCCTGGCAACAAAGCGAGATTCCATCTCAAAAAAATATATATATATTATTTCTTCTTGAGAATCGTGTAAATACTGAAGAAGCAGCATAGTATAGTAGTTAAGAGTATAACCTTTTTACTGAATTGCTTGGGCTCAAACCCCAGCTCTGCCGTTAATAGTTGGGTGAGCCATCCAAAATTAAGATCTAGTTTAAAAAAAAAAAAAAAAAAAAAAAAAAAAAAAAAGCTGCTGGAGAACCTGAGTGAGTTCCTTAACTTCCTTGTACCTTAATTTCCTTATCTGTAAGATGGGATAGTAATAATAATAATACATAACTCATAGAGTTGTTATGGAGCTAATTAATTACATTGGTAATTATGCATGATAGACATATTTGATTGTTGGTTCATTAAATACTTATTTTACTAACTAGACTTCAGAGTCTCTTTGATTCTAGATCTTTTAGCATCTTTATTTCAGAAAGTAGGAGCTTATAGACTAGTCCAGTGCTACTGAAAGGAAGCAGTACACACACAAGAATGGTGATCTAGTATGTGTATTGCTTCCTTCATTCATCGAGAAATCTTGCTTTAAAAAGTATTGGCTAAATTAAACAATATGATTAGTAATGAAGTTGATTTACATTCTGGTGCCTTTTTTTTACATAATAAAAATTAGTAGCAAATAGTTTGCAGATCACCTGCTGTGAGTAACATTGGTCTAACAAAAACAAACCGTTCTAGCTAAATCACCGTCTTCACAAAACCAATATGTGTAACCCCATTGTCTTTAAGTCACATTACCTTGATGTCTTCTGCATTTTTTTTTTATAATTACCTTATTATTTTTCCTACCGTGCATGCACCCTGGGTGATCTTCCAAGCCTATCGATTTTTGACAAATTCTGATTATTCTTTCTTATAGCTCTTCTCCTTTTTTGTTTCTTGCTATTCTTGCTCTTGTTAATTTTTAATTGGTTATGGTTAGCTGCCTAATTGGCCTCTGCTTTCTATTTTCCTTTCCCAAACCTATCTTGGACACACCTGATAAAACCATTCCCTTGTTGCCACGCTAACTCCATTGAGAAATGGTGGTTCTCTAACGTGATTAAAATGTGTTGTGCTGTTTGATTTGCATAAGTCTCTGAGAGACAGACAAGTGGACGAGGTGAACAGTGAATGATAGTGCTACTTATAGAGCAAGATGTCCAAAGTCTACTTCTAGTCATATATTTTGTCAAATCAGAAACAGTGATAATAGATGGAAAGGGAATCAAAGACAATTTTGAAAAGAAAGTGCAAATCTTAGAAAAATTTTTATGAAAGTTCGGGAAGAGCTTCTGTCCAACTACTCTTGCCAATATAGAGTTCTAACTTATATGTTATTAATTTACCAAAAAGCTATACTGAACTTCTTCTGCCCAGTTGTATACAAAGTAGCAAAATATTAGCCCCAGACCTTGACCATTTTTATTCACACTTACAAATCAACGTAATACATTATTACAAGATCAGTTTTAGACTTCTGGTTAGTGTGGTAGTCTGAACTGCTATGGGAAATCATGCCTTCCACGTATAGAAAGGCTGAAAACATTATTACAAGAATAGCTGAAGGGGAAAAACTACAGGTGCCATATACCATGAAGAAAAATAAATTCAGGGAATTGAAGGGGTGTTAAAGCAAGGGGTTCATAGTAGCATAAAGACTGGATCTTGATTTTGATAGCATTTTCATTCCCTCACATTTAGAGGAGGCAGGATGGGCCAAGGCCATGGGAAGCTGGAACAAAGTACTTCACATAAAGCCTAGAGTCACAAAGGGCAGCTCAATGTCAAAGAGGAACTAGGAAAACTTAGCCTGCCATCAGTAGAAAGAACAAGAAATGTCAAGATTATGATTGGAAATGGTATCTGTCACCCACAAAATACCGAAAGCCCAGCTTGCATCCCATCATGAGTATGTCCGGATTTAGCTGTCCTCAAGTGATTATGTACTGCAAGATCTCAAGCCAGAGAGTTAGTATTAAAATTATTTCTGAACCACTGAAACCAGCAGTTAGAGTGATGACACTTGACACTGTTCAATGTGAATGCTTCCCTAGCCAAGGGCACTCAGAACACCCAGGGAGAAATAAAACCAGCTGGAAATGAGCTTACAGAAAGCAATTAATAGCAACAGAAAGAAATATGAACCACAATAAGAGAAAGCCAACAGAACCAGCAGATAATTTGCATCCTGTGAACTTGGAGATGGCAGTCTTAATAGATTTGGCCATAAGTATGTTAAAAATATTCCTAGAGAGAAATCCTAAGACAAGAATAAACAATATGAAAAAGAACCAAATAGAACTCTACAGATAAAAAAATACAGTGATTGAAATAAAGGTCACAGGATAGATTAAGAAATAGGCCGGATACAGATGAGAAGAGACTCAGTATTAACTTTTGGAGACCTAATTGTAGAGTGCAGAAAGATAAAGAAATAGAACATCAGAAAGACAAGTTAGAGAAAATGATTTAAAGTGCATCTCCTTAGTTAAGAGTAGCACAAAATGGGAACAGGCTTTGATTTTAGAGATTACCTGACTTGATATGTGGCAAATTAATGCGAAAATGCTTTGAAAAAAAAAAATCCCCAGAATAAACTGCACTTGTGAACTATTGAACATATCAAAGAAAAAGAAAATTACCAGAAGATAAATGTTACCCCGTGGCTGTTGCTGTTTAGTTGAAAAGATTTTAATTATAACACAACTGAAGAGTGAAGGCTAGGACAAAACATTATTTTGTTTATTTTTTCTATATTAAATTTAAGAAATTCTAATTTTACTCTCTGAGGTAACATTAGATGTAGTAATATAATGATGTAGTGATGTAGTAACAGAAAGCTCTTTGGAAGAGAGAGAATTGTAATGGGTACCACTTTGTGATTGATAGTGTCGTACTAAACTTAGTTTATTTTGTATTTTAGCCATTATATGTAATACCTTATGGATGTGAGTATGGAGGATGGGAATCTATCCTTTGGTGACATCCTTCTGTCTCAGTCTATCATTTCAGATTCTTCTTCATTTCATATTATCTTTTTTGTTTTCTTCATCTTCCTCCTTTTTTGTGTCTTTCGTTCCTCTTCATTTTGTTTTAAATGACTAGTATATGCTGACTATGACCCATATGCTGTGGCAGGCGTTTGTAATGATCATGGCAAGACATATGCATTATATGCCATCACTGTACACCGGCGCAACCTGAACAGTGAGGAGATGTGGAAAACCTATCGTCGTTATAGTGACTTCCATGACTTCCACATGAGAATCACTGAACAGGTAATGAATTTTTAAAAACTTGTGTACTTTATGTTGTTTCTTGATTTGATTTTGATTATAAATCTGAGGATGCTCAGATATTGATACGTTTAAAAAATAAGGTAAGAATTTTTGGTATAATCACCATAAATCTTAGAATTAATCTGAGCATTTAACAAATAAATCAGATGTTGAACGCTTCATCAGTCCTAACCATTACGGACTAGTGACAAACTATCAAGGGTATACCTTGGAAAATTAAAGTGAATACATGTTTCTGATTTTAAAATTTGTTTGTGTGTATTGTGCTTTTCGAAGTTTTTTGGGCTTACTTTGAAGTAGGAATGGGGATTGCTATAGGACATTTTGTGCTTTTGTTTTTGAAGGCATAGTTTAAACCTAGAAGTTATTTTAAATGGCAGTTTCATCCAGCAGTGTAACAGTGAAATGAATCCTTGATTCATTACTCAAATTATTTTGAATCACAACCTAAAATAAATTTAATATTAACCAAATAATATTTTTAATTCTTACTTTTAATTCTTTTAATTTTATTTTTAATTCTTGTTTTATAGAAATAATTTAAAAGGACTCTTAAAGATAACAAATCTAAAGAAATTATTTCCCTGTCCTATTTTTTAATTAAATATTTTATTTTCTCAACTTAAAAAAAAATTTGATGAATTGGAATAAATGATCTATGAAATTTATTTTAATTCTTAAAAAGTCTTTGACTCATTCAGGGCTTTTAGGTATACAACTGGTATTAAACCAATAATAGTTAAAAGTGACATCTGATTGGGTGAACTAAAGCTTTGAAATGACATTGCACTACTTTAGAAATCAGAAAATATCTTTTTCAACTTAATATAGTGGAAAATATATAGTTGGCACCATGATAATCTTATTAAAATATCTTGTGGGTAGAGATTAATAGCTTAAAAGTGATGAAAAACAGGTTAATGTTGACTTCTGAAGCCTGTATTAAAAGGACTATTTTGAATTATATTAATAAGAAAATTAAATTAATACCTTTAGACGTACCTGTTCTTCTGTTCTGGAGTCAAATATAACCTTTCTTCATGTTTAGCTTGACTTGTTTGCAGAGATGAAATAACTTTCTGCCCCACATTGAAGAAATAATTGCTTTACCTTTTTAAAATATTACCTGTTTGATATTGTTTTAAAAGCATATAGCTCATATATCTTTTTATTCCCATCCTTACACTTTAACCAAACATGATAATTTAAAAAGTAGTTTGAATTGGTAAGAGTTTTATTTATTTGCAAATGAATTTACTTGCAAATTAATGAGAGTATTGTTTAATATGAAATTTTTATTGTGTAAATAGTTGTAATTTTCTTTCTAGTTAAGAGGAATAATCATTCCCTGATTTAAATGTAGAACTAGACTAGAACTGTAGGCATTATGTTTACATATTGACAAATGTAAATGAAGAACATACCTTTTAAGAAAACTTTTAAGAGGACAGTTCATACAGAAATTTCCCTTTTCAATTCAGCACCAGAAATTATATGACATTGATACAGCACAATTTCTTTTTCAAACAGCTCATGCAAGTGAAATGGACGTGTTTTGACTTGGTGTTTCCTTTTTTGTGTTTGTGTGTGTGGGTGTGGGGGTGTGTGTGCGTGTGTTTCTTATAAAGTCACAGTAGTGATATATCTAAGTGTTTAGATTGTTCACAGAACTTAAGAGATTAAAAACTCTTCTTTTAAATGAAAATTAGGTTTTAGTAAAATATTAAGTATCTGTAAATAAGACTTAGGGTGTTTGCCTTTTAGCTCAGCCTTATCTATATTTTAAAAACAAATCCCTTATAAAATAATGGAAGAAAAATGTAATGACTTGTAATTCAGCAGTTGGTCACAGTACAGCCTGTTAACATGAACAAATGGTAACTACATAGAGCACTTAAAGTAAAATTGTTTTAAAACAAGTTTCATTTTGTTTATATCATTTCGTGATACAACATTTTTTCCAAGACCAAGCTTGGTGCCTCACACCTATAATTCCAGCACTTTGGGAGGCTGAGGTGGGCAGATTGCTTGAGGTCAGGAGTTTGAGACCAGCCTGGGCAACATGGCGAAACCTTCTGTCTACAAAAAATACAAAAAATTAGCTGGGCGTGGTGGTGCCTGCCTGTAGTCCCAGCTACTCAGGAGGCTGAGGTGGGAGGATCACTTGAGCCTGGGAGGTGGAGATTGCAGTGAGCTGAGATCCTACCACAGCACTCCAGCCTGGGTGACAGAGTGAGACCCTGTTCCATAAATAAATAAATGACAGAGTGAGACCCTGTTCCGTAAATAAATAAATAAATAAATGAATAAATGAAAATCCAAGCTAAATGTATGAGCTATCATTTATTTTCTTTAAAGATTTTAATATTCTTATTTGTTGTTTTATGGAGACTTATAAGAATTAAAAGAAACTAATTAAAATGTTAAATGTCATGATTTTGGAAACGGCCTGAGCTGCTCATTCATTGATTTAACAAATATTTATTAAGCTTTTCCTATGTGTCTGGTACTTTTCTTGGTGTTAGCAACATATAAGGGAACAAGACAGACCAAGTCCTTGCCTCTAAGAGCTTATAGTGTAGTAGTTACTGTGCATTTCTGTTTTATTTGGTGAAATCTATATGGGTACAGATAAACTACTAATGATTTAAATGATAATATTAAGTATTCATTAAGATAACTGAGTAAAAATATGCACCTTATTAAACAAATTTTGAATTGCTTTAATACAAAATTTTAAGTCTGTTCTTTAAATTTTCCAGGAGTGTATTGGGTATCTAAACTTGGTGTGTTTAATGTAGAAAAGTAAGATCTTTGATTTTAGAATGTCTACGATTTATGTGTAGTATTTGAATTATTTGTAAACATTGACATCCTCTGTTATAATTTATTTTAGTTGTTTTTTGCTGAATTTCTAATTTCTTTTAAATGCCTTTAAAAATATTTTCATGAATTTTTGGCAGAGGGAATTACATTACTTTTCAGGGAATGGGCAATTGTTTTGTTCGTACTTTAAAATAATATTTTAAATAGCAAGTTTATGATGAGTTAATACAGAGTGTAAATTTTCACATTTTCTCCCTTGCTTTTATAGTTTGAGAAAAGTGTTAGTGATTTATGTTTCTGTTCCAGACAGACAACTTACAACGGAGTTTGTTTTGGTAATTTAGGCTTTAAGAAAACAACTGTTTTTGTAGTTTTTTTTTTTCTTTTTATTAGTAAGGTTTAAAATATTTTAAAGTTTCTGAAATAAATTGTTGTTTTAATGGATACTGTCATATTGCCTTGGTATATTAGTTTGGTAGGGCTGCCCTAATAAAATACCGCCAACTGGGTGGCCCAAATAACAGAAATTTATTTTCTGACAGTTCCAGAAACTAGAAATCAAAGATCAAGGTATTGACAAGTTTGGTTTGTCGTGAGGCCTTGCTTCTTGGCTTGTAGATGGCAGGGTTCTTGCCATGTCCCTATGTGGCCATTTCCCTCTGTGATGCATTCCTGTTGTCTCCTAGTGGGTCCAAATTTCCTTTTCTGATAGGATACCAGTCCGGTTGGTTGGGTTGGGGCCCACCCTAAGGGGCTCATTTAAACTTAATCATCTCTTTAAGGGCTTTATCTCTGAATTCAGTCACAATCTGAGGCACTGAAAGTTAGGGCTTCAACATGAATTTGAGGAAATACAGTACAAGCACAGAAGACTTGGTAATGCCAGAAAAAATATGTATTTTCTAAAATTGAATCAGTAGTTTAATGTGGATAGGTCATATTGCAGGAAATATCTTTTAGGACACCTTGAAAAAGTAAATTTGCTTCCAAAAAATTTTTTTTGACATGTGATACTCAGTGAGGATCCCATTTCTAATACTTCTGTGAATCACCACATTTGAGAATATTGCTATAGTATGATGTTTTCTCTATAAATTACCTGTACCCATTTTTGGTTTTCCTCCCAATACTGGAGTAAAAAACTACTTTTGCCTTTCATGTGTAACATATAATGAACTTGTTCACATTTTAGCTCTAAGCAGCTGTCAGATTTGTCCTTCTTTTAATAATGTCCCAGAATCTTCCAGTTTGGCGATGGAAATTATCCTAATCCTTTTCATTTCTCTTTAATCTCTGCACCAAGAATTAGTTTTCTTTACAGAAATGTTCTTCTTTTGAACAAATAATTGTTTTAAAAAGTTTGTTTCACTTTAGGATATGTATCACATGGGAAAAGTGGTGAGGCCTGTTTGAATTTCAGTACTAGGCTGTTGGTCAGGTACAGTCACTAGTTAAATGACTTTGCTGTTAAACTATTTTAGCAGCTAGTATGGTTAAAAAAAATCTATGTTTTAGCAAGGCATTACAGATTATGATGATGGACCTTTGAAGGTGCATCCAAATGTTAAGTCCATAAGTGCTAGACTTATAGTATACACATTTACTTTGTGTTTGTGATTTTACAAAGATAAAGTATATGCTGACTGTTACTAATTTTTTTTGGTTAGTGTAATCTCTGAGTTTATGTTTAATGTGGTTGATGGGACAAAGGTATCAATATTTATTATAATTGTATATACACAGGGTTATAATATAGCTACTATCTGTATTTTAAAAATTGTCATTTTATTTGCTAGTACTTTATTCACAGGTCAAAGACTTATTAAGGAAAATATTTTTTAAAACCTTTTATTATAAAAATTTTGAACAATCTCAACGTTAGGGAGAATATGAAATGAAATCCCACATGGTCAAAATCCATCTTCATCATTTATGCAAATTTGTCATTCTTGATTTAAGATACTTTTTAAATAAATAATATTAGAACGTGTTTTGAGTATATTTGGACAATTTTTTTATTTTCTGATTTTCACGTAATATATTGCAAAATTATCTGTTGAAGATGGTTTTGTTATTGTTGTTTGAGATGGAGTTTCGCTCTTGTTGCCCAGACTGGAGTGCAATGGCGCACTTTCATCTCATCGTAACCTCTACCTTCTGGGTTCAAGCTATTCTCCTCCCTGAGCCTCCCAAGTAACTGGGATTACAGGCGTGTGCACCACGCCCAGCTAATTTTGTATTTTTAATAGAGACGGGGTTTCTCCGTGTTGGTCAGGCTGGTCTCAAACTCCCGACCTCAGGTGATCCGCCTGCCTCAGCTTCCCAAAGTGCTGGGATTACAGGCATGAGCCACCGCACCTGGCCTGAAGATGTTTTTAATATGTAGAGAAATCATCACTTGGGGAAACCTTTTGTCTTTATAAAAAGTGCTATTGAATGTATTTTGTCTTACAGTTTGAAAGTCTATCAAGCATATTGAAGCTTCCTGGAAAAAAGACTTTTAATAATATGGATAGAGATTTTTTAGAAAAGAGAAAAAAGGATCTAAATGCATATTTGCAGGTAAGCTCATGCTTACTATAATCTACAGATTTTCATTTAATATAGCACACAGGTATAGAACGTTTTTCATTTAATATAGCACACAGAGTGTTTTTACTGTAATCGCAGGATAGCCACCACTTTTGTGCAGCATGTCAAATGTGACATGCAGTCTGCTTAGTAATTTGTAAACATTATTTCTGCGTGTATTGATTAACTTAGAAGTTTTTAGACACTCCGTGTTAGGAATTTTGCTTGTTTGTGTTTAGATAAATGCACATGCCTGTCTTCTCCTGGCTCAAACATTTGAATTTTTTGTTTAAAGTGCTAAATGTCTGTATCATTTATTTACAAGATTCTTAAGAAAAATTACCTTTTTCCAAATCTTTTATCATAAATGTATCTTTTAGATGTTGCTGTATTGTGTACTTCTTAGCTAATGAACTCAGTATGTCAAAACTTGTTCCATTGAAGGGACCAAGCTAGAATGTTGTTACATTCCAGTTGTGAAAGCAATATTTTGTTTGGGGCTTCCGTATAACACTTGAATGTTTTTGTTTGGATTATTTTATGTACTTTATTTCATACCATTTTTATTTAATGTTTTGTTTGTTTTGAGACAGGGTCTTGCTGTGTCACCTAGGCTGGAATGCAGTGGTGCCATAATAGCTCACTGCAACTTTGAACTCCTGGGCTCAAGGGATCCTCCCGCCTCAGCCTGCTAAGTAGCTAGGACTACAGGTGCATGCCACTGTGCCTGGCTAATTTTTTTAATTTTTTGGTAGAGATGGGGTCTTACTTTGTTGCCCAGGCTGGTCTTGTATTCCTGGCTCGAGCAATTTTCCCACCTCAGTCTCCAAAAGTGCTGGCATTACAGGCATGAGCTACCTTGCCCAGATTATTTAATGTTAACTCTAGAATTACTATGCAAATAACGTAACACTTTTCTAATGTGGATCTTCTTAGTATAAGCTATAAGATCTGAAAATAAAATAGTAAATATATTCGGACAACTTTCATATTAGTACACTTAAAGTCAAAATAGCTGATGTGAAGAATATGTATACCTAACTGTTAATTGTCATAAAATTATTGGTGACTTTATCTTAACTGTATAATTGGGTTTTTAAAAATATAAATTGATATTTTTTACTATACATTCTTAAAATTTATGAGCTAAAGTTATAAACAATAGTTAATTTCTAGCATCCTGTCAGTTTAAGATAATCTCTCTTTTTTTTTTTTCCTGTTAGTTACTGTTAGCTCCTGAAATGATGAAGGCATCCCCAGCTTTAGCTCACTATGTGTATGATTTCCTTGAGAACAAAGCCTATAGTAAAGGAAAAGGGGATTTTGCTCGCAAGGTAAGTAAGCAGACCACTGCACTGGGTTTCTTTTTAGGTCTGTTTTCTTACTTTGTTTGTAATAAAAGAAAATAAATTTAGATTTGTATGTGTGTTTTAAAACTAGAAAATTTTATTAAGTTCTCCTCAGCATGTTTATCACTATTGATAGGAATATCTACATATAAACTCCTGTCTTGACATGTTGATTATAATTCAACAGATGCTTGAAAGGAAGAAAAAAAAATTTTTAAATGGTACATTAAGAAAAGTTTGCCTGAGACAAGTCACAAGCTTTTTGTTATCTTTAGAAGGAAATGTTTCGTTCTGAGAGAAAATGTCATTTACTTGGAATAATGATAAAAATATTAAATAGGATATGTTCTGAAAGTATTTTTGCCTCTTGAGTAAAATCTTTATTATATAAAATATTTTAAATAATTTAAAATAGGATTTAAGACCTATACTTGGAATAAAATCATAAGGTAAGACAGTAAATAAGTGCTTAAATTAGGTAGGATAGCTTAGTGGGTAAGAACACAAGCTTTGAAATCAGGCAGTCTTTTGGTTGAAATTCCTGCTCTGCTATTTACTAGCTGTGACCTTGAGCATGTTACTGAACCTTTGGTACTTCAGTTTACTCAAGAAATTAAGATTTAAATTTCATTAGAACATTATGTGAATCATGCAATATTCTGTTTATTACAGTGCCTGGAAAATAATAAACCTCTGAATAAATGTTTGCTCTTAGTAATAGTAGCAATAGGAGCAGGAGCAGCAGTGGGGGAAGCTGGTATTATTTATACCACTCTGTATTTTATCACTTTTTATAAGTTTGAAATTATTTCAAAATGAAAATGTAAAAAGAATAAGGACTTTCTCACTACTCTTCATCCCCCTAAAAAGACCAACTTTTTAGAAAAGATTAAGGAATTAATACAAAATAAGTAAAAATTGACAATTATAGGAAGTTTGGGCCAAGCATGGTGGCTCATGCCTGTAATCCCAGCGCTTTGGGAGGCTGAGGCGGGTGGATTGCTTGGGCCTAGGAGTTCAAGACTAACCCTGGTAACATAGCGAGACCCTGTCTCTACAAAAAATAAAAAATACTAGCTGGGCATGTTGGTGCACACCTATAGTCCCATATACTCAAGTGGCTGAGGTGGGAGGATCGCTTGAGCCTAGGAGGCCAAGGCTTCAGTGAACCATGGTCATGCCACTGCACTCCAGCCTGTGAGACAAAGCAAGAACCTGTCTCAAGAAAAAAACAAAAAAAGAGTTCATATGATTACTTTAGGATTTTTGATTGTATAGTTTGGTGCAAAAGTAATTGCGGTTTTTGGACATTAAAAAAATGGCAAAAAACACAATTACCTTTGCACCAACCTAATAACATTTCTAAATTAGTGTTTTATTTTAATAATAAGTTCCAGGGTGTGGACCTTACAATGGAGGGGAAAAATATATGTTGCTTGTCTGTGTATTTCCTGACTGAAGTGATTGAGTTAAATTCCAACTTTGAGCAGTTTTGTCACTGGAGATGCATTTTAGTCTTCCATGTTTTTTATGTTTATATATCTTTTCTCCTCTAAAGATTGTATCCATTTTAAGATAAACTGATAAATTGATAACAGCTTTTGGAGATAAAAGAAATATTAAAGTACACTTTTTTAAAACCAAACAACAATAGCACATGTGTATGTCCCAGCAGTTATATACCACTTTTTTTTCATTTTTTATTTTTTATACTTTAAGTACTTGTATACATGTGCAGAATGTGCAGGTTTGTTACATAGGTATACATGTACCATGGTGGTTTGCTGCACCCATCAATCTGTCATCTACATTAGGTATTTCTCCTAATGCTATCCCTCCCCTAGCCCCCAACCCCCTGATAGTCCCTGGTGTGTGATGTTCCCCTCCCTGTGTCCATGTGTGAGAACATGCGGTGTTTGGTTTTCTGTTCTTGTGTTATTTTCCTGAGAATGATGGTTTCTGGCTTTATCCATGTCCCTGTAAAGGACATGAACTCATCGTTTTATATGGTTGCATAGTATTCCATGGTGTATACGTGCCACATTTTCTTTATCCAGTCTATCATCGATGGCCTTTTGGGTTGGTACCAAGTCTTTGCTATTTTGAACAGTGCTACAGTCAACATACGTGTGCATGTGTCTTTACAGTAGAATGATTTATCATCTTTTGGGTATGTACTCAGTAATGAGATTACTGGGTCAAATGGTATTTCTGGTTTAGATCCGTGAGGAATCACCTCACTGTCTTCCACAATGGTTGAACTAATTTACACTCCCACCAATGGTGTAAAAGCATTCCTATTTCTCCACATCCTCTCCAACATCTGTTGTTTCCTGACTTTTTAATGATTGCCATTCTAATTGGCGTGAGATGGTATCTCCTTGTAGTTTGATATGCATTTCTCTAATGACCAGTGATGGCGAGCTTTTTTTCATGTTTGTTGACTGCATAAATGTCTTCTTTTGAGAAGTGTCTGCTCATATCCTTCACCTACTTTTTGATGGGGTTGTTTTTTTTTTTTTCTTGTAAGTTTGTTTAAGTTCTTTGTAGATTCTGGATATTAGCCCTTTGTCAGATGGAGAGATTGCAAAAATTTTCTCCCATTCTGTAGGTTGCCTCAGTTCATGCTGATGGTAGTTTCTTTTCCTGTATAGAAGCCCTTTAATTTAATTAGATCCCATTTGTCAATTTTGGCTTTTGTTGCCATTGCTTTTGGTGTTTTAGTCATGAAGTCCTTGCCCATGCCTATGTCCTGGATGGTATTGCCTAGGTTTTCTTCTAGGGTTTTTATGGTTTTTAGGTCTTACATTTAAGTCTTTAATCCATCTTGAATTAATTTTTGTATAAGGTGTAAGGAAGAGATCCAGTTTCAGCTTTCTGCATATGACTAGCCAGTTTTCCTAGCACCATTTATTAAATAGGGAATCCTTTCCCTATTGCTTGTTTTTGTCAGAGTTTTCAAAGATCAGATGGATGTAGATGTATGGCGTTACTTCTGAGGCTTCTGTTCTGTTCCGTTGGTCTATATATCTGTTTTGGTACCAGTAACATGCTGTTTTGGTTACTGTAACTTTGTAATATGATTTGAAGTCAGGTAGCGTGATGCCTCCAGCTTTCATCTTTTTGCTTAGGATTCTCTTGGCTATATGGGCTCTTTTTACTTCCATATGAAATTTAAAGTAGTTTTTTCTAATTCTGTGAAGAAAGTCAGTGGTAGGTTGATGGGCACAGCATTGAATCTATAAATTACTTTGGATAGTATGGCCATTTTCACAACATTGATTCTTCCTATCCTTGAGCATGGAATGTTTTTCCACTTATTTGTATCTTCTCTTATTTTCTTGAGCATTAGTTTGTAGTTCTCCTTAAAGAGGTCCTTCACATCCCTTGTAAGTTGTATTCCTAGGTATTTTATTCTCTTTGTAGCAATTGTGAATGTGCGTTTACTCATGATTTGGCTCTCTGTTTGTCTATTACTGGTGTCTAGGAATGCTTGTGATTTTTGCACATTGATTTTGTAACCTGAGACTTTGCTGAAGTTGCTTATCAGCTTAAGGAGATTTTGGGCTGAGATGATGGGGTTTTCTAAATATACAATCATGTCATTTGCAAACAGAGATAATTTGACTTTCTCTCTTCCTATTTGAATACCCTTTATTTCTTTCTCTTGCCTGATTGTCCTGGCCAGAACTTCCAATACTGTTTTGAACAGGAGTGGTGAGAGAGGGTATCCTTGTCTTGTGCTGGTTTTCAATGGGAATGCTTCGAGCTTTTGTCCATTCAGTATGATATTGGCTGTGTTTTTGTCATAAATAGCTCTTATTATTTTGAGATACGTTCCATTGATGCCTAGTTTATTGAGAGTTTTTAGCATGAAGGGGTGTTAAATTTTGTTGAAGGCCTTTTCTGCATCTATTGAGATAATTATATGGTTTTTGTCATTGGTTCTGTTTATGTGATGGATGATGTTTATTGATTTGTGTATGTTGAACCAGCCTTGCATCCCAGGGATGAAGCCAACTTGATAGTGGTGGATAAGCTTTTTGATGTGCTGCTGGATTCGGTTTCACAGTATTTTATTGAGGATTTTCACATTGATGTTCATCAGGCGTATTGACCTGAAATTTTCTTTTCTTGTTGTGTCTCTGACAAGTTTTGGTGTTAGGATCATGCTGGCCTCGTAAAATGAGTTAGGGAGGACTCCCTCTTTTTCTGTTGTGGGGAATAGTTTCAGAAGGAATGGTACCAGCTCCTCTGTACCTATAGTAGAATTTGTACCTCTGGTAGAATTGTACCTCTGGTAGAATTTGGCTGTGAAGCCATCTGGTCCTGGGCTTTTTTTCTTTGGTAGGCTATTAATTGCTGCCTCCGTTTCAGAACTTGTTATTGGTCTATTCAGGGATTTGACTGCTTGGTTTAGTCTTGGGAGGGTGGATGTGTCTAGGAATTTATCCATTTCTTCTAGATTTTCTAGTTTGTGTAGAGTTGTTTATAGTGTTCTCTGGTGGTAGTTTGTATTTCTGTGGGATCTGTGGTGATATCCCCTTTATCATTTTTTATTGTGTCTATTTAATTCTCCTCTTTTCTTCTGTATTAGTCTGGCTAGTCCTCTGTCTATCTTGTTGATCTTTTCAGAAAAAAACCAGCTCTTGGGCTCATTGATTGTTTTTTGAAGCATTTTTCGTGTGTCTGTCTCCTTCAGTTCTGCTCTGATCTTAGTTCTTTCTTGTCTTCCGCTAGCTTTTGAATTTGTTTGCTCTTGCTTCTCTAGTTCTTTTAATTGTGATGTTAGAGTGTCGATTTTAGATCTTTCCTGCTTTCTCCTGGGGCATTTAGTGCTATAAATTTTCCTCTAAACACTGTTTGGCTGTGGCCCAGAGATTCTGGTATGTTGCGTCTTTGTTCTCATTAGTTTCAAGGAACGTATTGATTTCTACCTTTATTTCGTTATTTACCCAATGGACATTCCAGAGCAGGTTGTTCAG